GAAAGGCACCGTCCATGGCGCCAGAGCTGCCCGATTGTAGTAGCAGTCTTGCTGGCAATAAAGTCCACTTGGGGCTTCCAGGACAGTTGGTCATCAAGCATGACACCGAGATACTTCGTGACTGGAGTAACATCAAGCACTGTGGTACCACACTTCACTTCAGATGGTCCATCCAGACACCCACGGGGTCTCACAAACATAACTTGGGTTTTACTGGCATTTAATAGCAGACCAATGTTGTCCAAGTACTCAGCGAGTCGTGTTACAGCGTTAGAGAGAACAGAGCACACTAAATCAGGCTGATAGTCGGAGTAGTCCAGAGCCACGTCATCAGCGAATTCCTGGTGGCATACACTACCTGGTAGAACTGACGACATATCACTGGTGTACAGTACAAAAAGAAGAGGGCCCAGAACGCTGCCTTGAGGCACTCCTCGGGAGCATCCAACATATTGCGAAACTGAGTGTTCCACCCGTACACACTGCTGCCGCTCCGAGAGATAACTGAGGAACCATTCCAGTGGTGTGTCACAAATGCCAAGGTCAAACAGCACTTGCACAAGCCTGGCATGCTGGACTCTATTAAATGCCTTCGATAGATCTACCATTACTACCCCGGTGTGTTTTCGTTCCGATTTGGCCAATTTCCAGCGGTTGGAGGCAAGGATAAGAGCATCTTCTGTTGAGTGATTTCTTCGGTATGCAAATTGACTTGAAGGTAACAAGGAGTGATCATCTAGGAAAGTTGTCAGCTGTTTCTTGACAAAGTGTTCCAGTATGCGAGAAACAATAGGCAGTAGCGAGACGGGCCGATAGTTACGAGCTGACAGTGGGTCGCCATTTTTATACAATGGGCTGATAAGAGAATGTTTGAAAGTTGATGGCACTATACCAGACGCAAGAGATAAGTTGACGATCTTCATCAGGTATGGGGAGAGGGTGTCCGAGCAACGTTTCAACACAATACCTGGAATTCCATCACTTCCTGTAGCTTTATGTGGATCCACACATTGCAAACGCTTAGCGACATCATACAACGACACAGGTTGGAAGGCTGTAAGGGCATCAGATTTCGTAGGGCCAACTGGCATCTGTAGGTGCGTAGGTCGACTGGGGTCATGAACAACATCTGCAAAGAAGTCGCCCAGCTGGTCAGCTGATACCTGGGGTACTCGGCGGGTCTTCTTTCGTCCGGTGACAGTGTTCATCACGGACCAAAGTTTCCTCTGATCAGACGTATAGCATTGATCCATAAAGTAAGCATTCTTCAACTGTCTATCTAGCTTTCTGGCCTTGGCACGTGCAGCTCGGTGCTCCTGCTGGAGTGCCTCGTTTGCTCTATCTTGCATTAGACGGCGGTGCAGTCTGTTTCGGTTCCGGACACACTCAACCAGCTCGCGAGTCAGCCAGGGACATGGACGCCGGTCTGCACGGCGGCGGGTGGTGATGGGTGCATGTTGGTCAAGGGTGGAGAGAATAGCATCGTTAAAGGAAGTTGTCATGGAGTCAACATCTTGATCATCAAAACCGACAGACAGTATGCCATGTAGATCAGTTTGAAAGCAGCCCCAGTCAATCTGATGGAGACGACGACCCGTGACAGTTGATGTTCCCTTGCGAGCAGGTTTAGACGGAATCGGTAGATGAGCGAGTATGGCATAGTGATCACTTATATCGAGGTAAATTATTTCACATGTTCCACTTATAGCTGTTGTTGAGAGGAAAAGGTCGAGAATGGTCTGGGAATGTGCTGTCACTCGTGTTGCAGAGGATACGTAATTCTTCAGATCAAATCTCGTCAGAATATGCTGAAGAGGGTGGGCAGCATTACCAGGCATGCTGAAATCCACGTTAAAGTCACCAACGAGTACTGTGGAATGTTGCCGTCCTTGACAAGCTTGCTCAATGTTATTCTCAAAACCATCCCAGTACGATACAGGTTTGTTTGGTGGGCGATATGTACACCCGAGAACAGTGGTTCGCCCATTACTTGTAATTTCGATCCACATCATCTCTAGCTCTGGACACTCCAGGTCCGTGCGCCTTCTGGCATGGACAGAATCATGACAGTACACAGCAACGCCTCCTCCATGTTGACAATAACGGTCCTTTCGGAACAGCTAGTAATTCGGAATCGAAATCTCGCCGTCGCTAATGCATGGCTTCAGCCAAGTTTCAGCCAGGCCGAGGACATGGATTCCACGCACAGCAAGGTACTGTTGCACTTCGCCGACTTTTCTCTGTAGACTACATATATTGAGAAAGGATACGGCAAGCATAGCCTGGCTCATGACTTGTGGTGAACGATTTCCCGCCGCTATCATTGGGAACTGAGTTCAGTGTCTGTGGACGCATCGTCAGTCGTCGTCCTGCCCTTGTCCTTGCTGACAGGAGTTTGGGAGGCCTTGGATTCGGGAGCATTGAACACCCAGCGACGACAGTATGCTCGACCCCGCCAGAAACCCTTAGAAAGCAGCACCGCAGCTGTGGGTGCGCTCACAGTGAGCCGAGCGAATGCGGTCGACTTCTCAGGTTTCGCACTTTGTATTTGACACTTGTAGACGACAATAACAGCTGGGTTGTTGGCATTCCGTGTCACGTAGCCACGAAGTCGTTCTTCTGTCACTGTTGGTGACAGCCCTCCAACATACAGAACGACTTTCCTGCGAGGAGCACATACATCCTGCCACGGCTCCTCCGGAACAGGTGTTGTCGATGGGGATGTAGCTGCCGCTCTGGCAGCCTGGACCAGGTCTTCAATCTGCCGTGGCTCAGGTGGCCTTGGGTTTGCTGGGATTTCTGCAGCCGGCTGCTGCAGCAGTAATTTGCAGGGCTGTTTAGTCATGTCCGCAGAGTTCTGAGTGACCACTGAGGCAAATGTTGGTGCATCCTGGACAGATTGCTGCTGCTCAGTGGCAGAAACTGGCTGACGACTGGACTGAGTCGCAGCATCACTGGGTGTAGGACTGACCACCGAGGCAAATGTTGGCGCATCCAGGACAGATTGCTGCTGCTCAGTGACAGAAACTGGCAGACGACTGGACTGAGTCGCAGCATCACTGGGTGTAGGACTGAGCTTGACCAGCAGCCTCTCTATGAGACGCTGGAGTTGGGGCTGCAATGCTGCCGTTACCTCCGCCACAACAGCATCTCGGAGATAGGAAATACACGATGGGAGGGCTTTCACGACCTCATCCCGCACAAGTTCCTGCAGCCGGGAATTTTCAAATTGAGAATTTTCTCCCAGCGGAGAATTTTCAAGCTGAGAGTTTTTTCTCAGGGATTCGAGGGATCCGGCACAGTCACTTGAGACAAACTCTGCGGCCTCCTCCGCTGAGAACAGCCTCTTGTTGGTCTTAGCGGAACCCTCGGGTGAGGAATCCATGGAGAGATCACCTCGGCCTCGTTTGTTGGAGCCACGCGGAAGGGAGCTCGATCTTCGTGTCGGTTTCTCCTTCGACATTTTTTGTTTTTGTGTTTTCTGGTATTGTCTCTAATCGCCGTTGATGGCGAACCTACCACCACTACACTGCCCTACCACTACTACTACTACTACTACTACTACTACTACTACTACTACTACTACTACTACTACTACTACTACTACTACTACTACTACTACTACTACTGCTGAGATACTGTATCCACCTCCAGACCGGCCTGATGCCGACTGGGCTCTCCAGGAGCGAGAATCTACGAGCTGAAAAAGTTGCACAGCAGTGACAGCATCCACAAGGCTTTACGATTTTGTTGATCGAACATGAAATGGATACACAGACAAAGCCAGGCCAAGTACATGGCGAGATGTCGCCAGAAGAACGTCTTCAGGTAGAGAGCGTATTGCACCCACTGTCTAGTCGATTTTGTGGATCGCACATGAAAATAGCTCAAATGGTTTTGAACACCCGTACCGTACAACCAGGGAGTCGTAAAATACCGGGAGGCGACACGCCACACATTTCACGATCCGAGGATTGCCGCACTCGACCCGCGAAATTTGAAGCGTGATTGAAACGTCGTCGTCATCTTCTTTTTCTCAATTGTTTTTGCTATATGCTTCGAGGCTATTCTGGATCTCCAGAGCGAAAGCTGGTTGTTTCTGATACGTACCACGCATTACCTTAGGTTGAGCCGTGGCTTTTATTTTTTTTTGGAAGTTCACTGCTTTGGAGACGACGGAATGTCAAGGTAAGTTATTCACGAAATGTACTCAAATTTGAATTGAGTCAATGCGAATGACACCCTGTTTTCGGAATAGTTCTCCACTAAACACACCATGCCCATGGCCCCTTCATGTTGTCCAAGTTCCATTCTGGGTTTGTGTGAAGTTTTGAGATGAAGTTCGACGATGTACTCACCTTTCCATGGAAGGGAAAAAAAAGTAGCATATCAAACAGAATCCATGCAGTATTTGATGCCACTATCCTCATTCTTCTGCATTCAAAGTGTTTCACATCTATATGGCCCATGAACTGCAAACAATATTTGTCATTTCTTAACTGTTCATAGCTGTTCATAACTGTTCTGAACACATTGCCTTCAGGAAACGTAAGGCCGAGTCGCCTCACCGACTGAGCAAAGTTCTCTGCGACGAAAGGCACACTATCGGCGAATGCACTCAAGGTGAATACCCGTCAATATCCTGTATACTGCTTGTACCGCTTATCACAGTAGCATACACACAAGCACACATACACACACACACACGCACACACACACACACACACATGCATGCTCGTGCACACACAAGCGCAAAATTCACATATCACTGGTTCAGTTGTTTTTATCTGTGTCGTATTTTGTCTTATACAGAGCTTCCGAGCCACGCCGAGTCACCTGACCAACTGAAGAAGGTTCTGTGCGACGAAAGTCACGATATCGGCGAATGCACTCAAGGTGAATACCCTGCGGACTGCTTATACCACTTATCACAGAAGCACACACACACACACACACACACACACACACACACACACACACACAAGCGCAAAATTCACATATCACTGGTTCAGTTGTTTTTATCTGTGACGTATGGTGTCTTATACAGAGCTTCCGAGCCACGCCGGGCCACCTGAATTCTCCAAACAAGGCTGACGGCTTGTCACGGCATCCTTGCCAAATAAAGGTATAAGCTGCAGCAAGTTGTCGTTGCGACACCTTGCTCCTTCCAGCTCACGCCGCACGGCCACCAAGCACCAACCACCATGGTACTTTTCAGCAAGGTGAGACAAATTGTCAATCACCGGTTCGGGGATGGCTTCAGCAGCTTTGGATGGTGCTATTGACGCTTTCCTGATAGCAGCGGCAGCCGTGGCATGCAGGTAGCTTATCAGATTCGCTAGCACTGCAGATGTAACTTCCAAATCTGAAGAAGAGAAAAGAAAAAGACAACATATAAGGACTGGTGGTTGCAGAGACTGTACTAGTATTCAAAAGCCAGCGTTTGCATACCTAGTCTGCATACCTAGTCAGAAGCCAATTTTTTCCAACATGCATGCAAAACGCACTGACCTTCACAATTGATTTTCACTTCGGGAATAGCTGTTGCGATGACGGACAGCATTTGTTGCCATGCTTGCGAAATATCAGCACCCTTGCATGCCTTCAGCTGGCACACTTCCTGGCGTAGCAGATTTGCAGTACCTGATGCCTTGTGTAACCGTGTCATAATAACATGCAGGAATGACTCCGTCGCCTCAGTAACACTCGCCTGTCTCATTGTCAGCAGTTTGCAAATTCCATGGATCACTGCACCTTCCATAGGCCTTTACACCATGATGGCACTACCACTCTTACATCGATCTGCACATATTATTATTATTTATTATTATTATTATCAAATTTTTGATAGGGCAATCCCCACAGGCCTAAGGCCTTCTTACAGGGTACCCTAACATAGACAAAGTATGGTTTGAGGATGGAGGTTTACATCATCTACGGTGATGATACATACTAGGTACACACGTAAATTTTCAGGACTTCAATAAATATCCTGTCACAGTGAACAGACAATGCATCGTGGGCAGACTAGGATGAAAAGGATGGTGTCGACAACCTAATTTATCGGGTCAGTTCGGGCACTTAGGTATGCTACAGATTATACATTCGTGTCCACAAGGAAGAGACAAAAACATGCAAACGAAAGAATCTCACCTGTAGCCCACAGCTGAACATCCCCACAACTCAGGTCACCAAGTGAATACGAGCCCAGCCACCTTCAGTTCTGTGCCCTGCTAAAAGCGCATCATGGCTCCGTTTAAATGCTTTTCGGCTAGTGTGTTTCTGTGGTATAGCGGACTGAAGAATAGTAAACGTGTTTTGCAATAATATGTATGAAGCTATTTTGTATATAGTATGTTCCCATTCCGTTTTTGCTTTGGTGTAGCCCTGAGGTTGATGGCTTATTTATTTCTACCCTTCCTCTCTCCATACTTCTGCCCCCCCCCCCTCTCTCTCATTCCTTCTGTCGTCCACATGTATCAAAGGAGGCGAAATCGCCTGTTTGTGGTGCGACGTTAAATAAACTTCTACAACAACAATACGTGGCGTCATCTACATCTTCCACGGTGGACTCATCACTTTGGCAGTCATCTCTGTCAAGCTCCATCATCCTTTACTTCGAAGGCCAAGGCACAAAGTATTATTACTTAGAAAAACAAAACGAACTGCTGACACTGGATTCGTTGTGTGCAGGATAATTTTATTGAGTTTTCAAATTTTTTGGACCAAACAGTGAACGCGTCCTTTTGCATGACCTGCGCCGCTTTGACCTCATGGGAAGTCCCTCGCCATGCAACGCGTGAGGTCTCAGCACTCGTGCCCGAGCTGAGGCAATCATCCGACGCGGTTGTGCATCTCGTGTCGCCTCCCGGTATTTTACGACTCCCTGCGTACAACCAACTATGCCACTTTCAATAAATCGTGACGCCATTGGGTTTTAACACGCATGTGGCAGATTCTCGCAAAATAAACTTTTGAAGACCTCTTTTTTCTCGCAAAAAAATCTTTTCCAGGTCAGGCGCGACCGGCCTGCGCCCGGGGCACGCGGACAAATGTTTTTCAATCGCGTAATTTTGCCCGAAATACCCAGATTTCGATGAGGGCGCAGAAGTACAATCATGTACTTACTTGATTGTAGTCGTTGTTGATTGGATAGCATGCTTGAAACAAGTTCTAAGGCGGAAGACACCGTCTTTGGAAACAGTGACCTTACTACAACCCTCTAATACCATGACTGTACTAATAGTACTAAGGTCCCTTAATTAATTAATCTGACGTCAACACCCCGTTGTTTATTGATGCTGTCGAAGTGCCTACGTTACAGTCCATTCATTGGAAACTGGGACCCTTACTTTTTGGTGTCTCTCTCACATAGTTGTAGATATCGTAAAAACAACAGTACATCCTGCATTGTGTGACCTGTGCAATTACTCCTTGCCACATTTGAGGCCAGAAAAGTCCAAGAACAGGGAAATAGAAATTCAGCCAGGTTTTAAAAAATTAGGACAGGTATGCCATGGAGAAGCAGATCCAAAACCCAAATATTTGAGATTTAAAGTGGGTTTTTGATCCTCAATTCAGACCAAATCCGACTTTCAAAAGCCAGCGGGCCAGTTTCCGATGAATGGACTGTAGGGAGGGCCCAAATATGCTCAAAAATTTCGCATGTTATGATTTTCGCATATTGGCCACTTGCTTCAAAATATGCTTCGAAATCACACAGAAGCAGAAAAATATGCTCGATATATGCTCGAAATATGAACTGATATCAGTGATAATTATGCGAATTCTTTGCTCCTTGTAACAAAATATGCTACATTTGGTACAATACGCTAGATTTGCTACTTTGTGCGACCTTGTGTCAAAAGGACCAAAATATGCAAACATATGCGCAAGCATATTCGGGCCCTCCCTAGCCTACGAAACGTGCTTGAAAACTCGTTAGGCCTTGACGGATTATGCTAATATTTTCGTGAAATTATGCTTTTCGCATTGCTGTAAAAATTGCAGAATTATGCTATTTTTATGCTAAAAGTTACCATATTATGCCGCATTATGCTCACATATGCTGCTAATGCAAAATGGTTCTGTGCAAAATAACAAGGGATTTTTTTGTAGAGGGCGTTGTACTGCAGTAGCAAAAGTTCAACGGGGTCGATCAACGCATCGTCCGACCTAGCTACGACCATCACTGATTGTAGTGGACTGGACATATTATCAAGGGAGTCGTAAACCTACAACTTCCTAGTGCATCTACTTGTACTTGTACTTGTAGAACATGTACAACTGTATGGAATTTGATGCGAACAGGCGGATTATTCCAATTTTATGCGATTCGTATGCAATTTGCCTCGAATTATGCGATTATTCGATTTTGGTAGGAATTATGCGAAAAATTATGCTAGCATAATCCGTCAAGGCCTAAAACTCGTAGTTACACGTGGTTACAATAATATTATTTTAGCAATAAGAACTGCTTTATGGCAGTTTTCTAAACAAAGTTTTTGTGTTCTAGTCCATGGACCCCGTCTAAAAAAGAAAAAAATTAACGAAATGTGATAGCGGAAAATTAAAATTTCACACAAAACCTCACAATAATCGCACACAGGATGAAAAGCGAGAAGACATTTCCGCTCGGCCTCGTGGTCCTCTTTCCTATTCATGCATGTTTCCGCAGTACAAGTCACCCGTGCAGTGTCAGACTAAACAAGTGTTGAAAGCAGTATTTTTTTAAAAAACTAAGATCCTCAAGTGTTGTGATTATTGTGAGGTTTTGTGTGAAATTTTAATTTTCCGCTATAATTAAATTATTAAATTTCACGGTTCGCGTGAGACTCGGCTGGAAGCCGAGTTTTCCGCATCCGCCGTGGGAACGCCACCACCCTCTAGGATCAAAGTTTCCGCTATAACATTTCGTTAATTTCGTTAATTTCTTACTTTTTTGACGGGGTCCATGGACTAGAGCACAAAACCTTTTTTTAGAAAACTGCCATAAAGCATTTTTTATTGCTATAATTTCTTTTTTTTATTATTATTATTATTATTATTATTATGCACTTACGCGTCAATGTCAGCGGTGGTAAACCGCCCACAAATTCGCACGTGCTGAATGGACTTGGGGATTGGGAAATGAAAAAATAAAAATAAAAAGAGCAACGACAACAGAAATAGAAATACAATACAAGACGTACCTGCTAAGGGGCACATGACAGCATTGCTCAGATTGAACAGAGGACGCAGACACAGGATAAAGGGCATTGTCGACTTCGTTTTGAGAATAATCCAGTAAAATGGTGGCAGGTGGATGCAGATCCACGCACTACGTTAAGAGAGGAATTTTGTTGGTATTTAAAAAAGATGTTAATTATTATTACTGCAGCAGTTATGAAAAGCAGTACTGTGATATTTCGGAGCAATATTATTTGGTTTTAGTCGTAGACGCCACTATTGGACTTGCAGACGTCCTTGCAAAGGTCCTTCCACTCCCCTCTGCCCTGTGCAATCTCCGGGAGGGAGAGGAGATCAGACTACGTCTTGAGTCCCCTCCGCCCCACTCTCTGCAGGTCACGGGATAGCACGATAGGCAGAGTCGTTCTTGGCCGTCCCCTCCACACTGTTTCCTTCACCTGGTAATAGTTAATCATCCTCAGGACATCCGTCAGGCATGCGCAGTATATGGCCAAAGAGTCTCCATCTGGCTAGGCGAACAAAGTTAGATATGGGTTGTGCTTTGCACCTCTTGTAGAGAGCAGCATTGCTTATTGTTTGTGGCCACCTAATACCGATGAGACTACGCAACTGCCTGCCGTGAAACGAATCCAGTTGGGCCTCGGCCACTGAAGTGGGTGCCCAGGTGCCGCTGTTGTACAGTAAGACTGGCATCACGAATGCGTTGTACAGCCTCAGTCTCAATTCCTCACGCACTAATGTTCTCCGCTTCCAAAGACTGTACATTGCTCTGTAGGACGCTGTGGCGAGCTGTTTTCGCCTGGTGATGTCTTCGTCGTCACCAATCAGAGAACCTAACTTTTTCGTCATTCTCCATTCTTCCGAGACTCGATCCTGCTGCCGGGTGAGTTTTGTGTGTTCGGTCTTCTCTGCGTTGACATGGGGATTCCATTGCCCGAGAACTGTTGCGGCAAGAGGTTCAAGCTGAGCTAGCCAAGCAGATGAGGTACTGACAAAATCGGTGTCGTCCGCGTAGATGATGTCGATTGGTAGAGTGCTATCTGCAGGAGAGCGAGGTGGGGCTGTGGCGAGGACATCGCGCAGTGCTGCGTCTAGATAGACTACAAATAGCACAGGGGAAAGTGAGTCTCCCTGTGGAGTGCCAATTGTTGTGTGGAAAGGGGTAGACTCAAAACCTCCAAGTCGAACACTCAGCGTCGTGTTAGCGATGAGCAACCTTACCAAACGTAGATCATCCGGAAGTAGGAAGGTCTCCAAAACGGCCAGAAGTCGGTGTCGCTGAATGGTGTCAAATGCTTTTGACATGTCTATACCGAGAATTTCAATGACATACTTATATTTCTGGACTGTTGCTGCAAGCCATTTGTGACACCAAACTGCATCTGCCGTTGATCGTCCTGCCCGGAATCCACTCTGGTTGTCACTGAGAAAGGTATTAACTCTATGTGAGATGCGTTTCAGGGTGAGAAGTGACACCGCCTTCCTGAGGGCAGTTAGAACTATGGGACGAAGATTTCCAGGTGGTCCCTTCTTTTTGTTAGGTTTTTGAAGAGCAATCAGTGTGCCTAGGCCGAGGTCTAATGGCTGATGGGTTTCGAAGACCCTGTTCAACTGTGTTGAATTCGGTTACGTTTGGTTTTGAGGGATTTTCTCTTCTTGTCGTCAGTGACAAATGTCAGCTGTATGCGCAGCTGCCTCTGCTCCTTCGATAGGGCTTCCAGTTCTGCATCATCGTATTTTTGGTTTTTTTTTCTCTTGGCGTATCCCACAGTTGTTGCTGCTGCACTGTGAATGTGTTTTTGAATAGCGTTCCAGTTCTCCTGCACGTCGTCTCCTGCCTCCCCAGTAGGCTCTGCAAGTGAATCTGATAGCTTCTTTGCATAGGCGAGCTGTACTTCTTTCTCTGATGCCAGGCGTAGTGTATTGACACTGGGCTGTCTGCTTATGCTCCGTTTGCGCGTCTGGCTGCCCAAGACACCATACACTCTCGGTATCTCTAGGTTTGCGATTACAATTCTATGATCTGAGTAAGGCTCCATCCCGCCGTAGCTCCTGCAGTTCTTCAAGAGACGTTTCTGTGACTCACGGCAAATAATATAATCAATCTGATTGTACACAGGGACTTTTTGGTCTGCTGCTTTGTCTCTCCTCCAGCCAGTCCAGGTCGTAATATTCCTGGCAGGATGCTTGAACGTAGTATTGGCCAGGTAGAGGTGACTAGTTTCACAGAAGTTGACCAATGTGTCCCCAGTGAAATTTCGTCTGCCTCTACCATGGGATCCCAAACAGTTCGCATTTCTGCGGCCACTGCCAACTTTCGCGTTGAAATCGCCACAAATGTACAGTAGGGCACTGCTGCTGACCTCTGAGTACGCCGTAGCCAAGTCGTCGTAGAATCTATCCATCTCAGCGACATTTGACGCACATCTCGTCGATGTCGGTGCGTATGCGTTGATAATAGCCAGGAATGGCCTTCCCGAGGCGACGTTCTGTCCCTGGTGTACAGACACTAGAGCTGAGGGGCTACTGGAGAGCGTAAGGACTGCGACACGGTCCGATACTGCCCAGTACCGATGAATTTCAAGGCGACTCGAGACAGCGAATCCGAGGCCATAGTGATAGTTTTTCGTTGGAAAACAGATGAGACGGTGTCCAAGGATGGATTCGTCTAGTCCGTCTGTAAGTTTTGTTTCCTGTAGAGAGCACACGTCCACTGCGCACCTCGCCAAGTCTCTGGTCAGAGTAGTTCTCTTCAGTGACGACTTCAGGCCGAGGACGTTGAACGTGGCAATGTTGAGGTTTGAAGAATATTTTTTGAATTTTCCTGAGCCGACTGTCTTAGCTGTTCCTCGCTCCGACGACTGGGCCGGCGTGTGCCGCTCCCGGTCCGTCGGACGTCTTGCCATTTATCGTCGCTCATTATCCCGAGTCCATTCAATAAATACTAAGCTCTTCCTCACAAGAAGGAAGAGAGGAGAAACATAACTTTCCCCAGCCAAACAATTTTTTTTAGCTAAGGATATTATCAAGAGTCCATAAACAAATGTTTATGCACTCTTGATATTATTATAATAATTATGTCACCAATGGAATGTCGTAAATGATGGCCTAGCGCCTCTACATGTGCATCATATCAAATTCAATACTGTATTATACGCATTGATGTGCAAGCCTTATCTTTCAGTAAATGGCACTAGTATTGCATATTCATGTTCTTTTGCAGGGGAATAATATGGGAAGTGGCGGTGATACTTTTTTTATACGCAGGTCATTCTGTGGATGTTGCTGTTGCAGAATTTCATGAATCTGTCATCAGATTGTCTTGTCTTTCAGAAAATTCAGATTTCCCCACCCTAAATCACACTTACTTGGGAATTCTAACCAGGTGCGTGCCGCAGATGTTTTTGTTGATTCTGTGTTTATAATTGTAGTCATGAGTTGTCGTGATAAGGTGATCCTGCATCATTTTGTACTGAAATCGTAATACTGTTGATGTCAATACAACTTTTGGAAGTAGTTCAATGACTTCAAAGTGTTACAAGTCCACAATTGTCTAAAACAACACAACAAAGTAGGAACAATAAACATGTATTTTTTATTTATTTTTTATGTTTATTTGAATTCGGATAGCTCAACAGTACAGAAGTACAACTACAAAGAGTACCGAATAGAAGGCCCCGAGAACGGGAAACCAAAAAAACAAAAAACAAAAAAACCAGCAACATCAAGTTACTGATTATGCACATTGCTTGAAAGCAAATCACAACAATGATTAAGAGTTAAAGGGGAAGTATACCCTAAAATCAAATTTTCACCAGTTGTAGTCTTCTGGGTGCTGAGTTGAATGGTCTTGGTCCGAGGAAGCTGCGACGCTCCCTTCCTACTTGAATCCCAATCGAACTCGCGCACTTCCACCGAAACTGGGTGACTGCGCCCTACTAGATGGGGATTTGTATGCAAAATGTCACTAAAAACGCCATTTCGTTCTTATAAAAGCACGGATGACCGCGATTGGCCCATATGCTGTAGTCTTTTGGACGCTGAGTCGACTGGTTTTGGTCCGAAAAGGCTGCGATGCAGCGTTCCTCCTTTATTCCCAATCGAACATGGTTGAACAAGCGGTCACGTGCTCCTGGGTGCCCAAATCACCTGGTCACCACGCCAGCAGGCGACAAATTTCACACCAAGGTTCAACTCGAGTTCAACTCGAGTGACAGGAGTGCACCCAAAAAAGGTCAAACAGGCTAGTAAGTTGTACCCTGCAGGCACGGTGACCAGGTGACTGGTGTACGCAGAAGCACGTGACCGCTTGTTCAACCATGTTCGATTGGGAATAAAGGAGGAACGCTACATCGCAGCCTTTTCGGACCAAAACCAGTCGACTCAGCGTCCAAAAGACTACAACATATGGGCCAATCGCGGTCATCCGTGCTTTTATAAGAACGAAATGGCGCTTTTAGTGACATTTTGCATACAAATCCCCATCTCGTAGGGCGCAGTCACCCAGTTTCGGTGGAAGTGCGCGAGTTCGATTGGGATTCAAGTAGGAAGGGAGCGTCTCAGCTTCCTCGGACCAAGACCATTCGACTCAGCACCCCGAAGACTACAACTGGTGAAAATTTGATTTTAGGGTATACTTCCCCTTTAAGCTGTCTTTTAGCCAAATAGCCAATTTGACGCGGAAATCTGCGATAGTAGTGCAGGACTTCAGGTCGTCTGGTAAATAATTCCAAACAAGAGCCGATTTACTTGAAAAGGACAGAAAGCCAGACATAGATCTATAGCGACTGATACTCATGTTATGAGTTGTAGAGCCGCGAGTAGTTCGGGTAGACGTACAGATGGGAAAGAGGGACTGCAAGCAAACAGCCGGCTTAATACAGTAACAGTGGAAAATGAATACAAGGAACAAAAATACTGATCGATATTGGAAAGTAGCAATGAACAATATCAATTGTGCACTCATAACCATGTATAAACAATTAAAATGAAACAATTCCAGAACGTTTTCGTGTGACCATCATCAGTGGAACATCGTCACATAGTAAGAATCACTAAAACAACCAGTTATATAGCTACAGTAATATGAAAAGAAGCGTGAGAATGCAGCACAGCTAGCGGTTATGCATAACGCGTGTAGTGTGAACCTTTGCAGTGTATCTGAGAATGGTAGCAGTAGATGAATATGGCAGCTGTGAGTGCGTGTGAACAAAAACTGGTGAGTGCGTATTATGCCTGTCAGTATTACCACACAACCAGAAACGGATACAACACCGGACTCAACAGTAGCGCAACACATGAATCTCGTGTCACTCTTGACGACAACAACACGGCATGGGAGACCACCGGACGATCGTTCGTTAACAAACCCGACGGCGGTAACGGAAAGATCACCAGGAGAACGAAATGAAAATGGAGGAAAAACGAATCTGAGGAGAAGCCAGAGACTAGCGGAGACACGACTGAGAAAAATGGAGAAGGCGGAAACAGTAGTGGCAGGTGAAAGTACGGGCGCAGCAGTGAACACGTCAAGGAGAAAGAAGCGATGGCATGAGGAGATGGAGATGGAGGATGATGATGGGGATGAACAGGATGGTCAGGAGGAAAGCAAGGGTGAGCAGGAACAGGAAGTGGAGGATGAGAGTGATACGGACGAGGAGGAGTTCGACATCGACAAGAGCAAGTCTGCCATCTACAAGCATTTGGTGTCCAGTCCGGATTGTCGTAAGTTGTTTTACGATTCTTGGTTTAGTGTTATTTGTCACGCGCGTTTCTTTAAGCAGTTGCAGGTGTTGGAAGCTGTATATATTCGCACACGTGACCCTGTTCTATGCAAGCAAAAAGAAAATGTTGTAGCACTCACACTTTTTAAATAATACGCACTCACCAGTTTTTGTTCACACGCACTCACAGCTGCCACATTCATCTACTGCTACCATTCTCAGATACACTACAAAGGTTCACACTACACGCGTTATGCATAACCGCTAGCTGTGCTGCATTCTCACGCTTCTTTTCATATTACTGTAGCTATATAACTGGTTGTTTTAGTGATTCTTACTATGTGACGATGTTCCACTGATGATGGTCACACGAAAACGTTCTGGAATTGTTTCATTTTAATTGTTTGTACATGGTTATGAGTGCACAATTGATATTGTTCATTGCTATTTTACGACTGTTGTCTCCTCGTCGGTTATTTAGATATTGGAAAGAGGAAACATTGAGGTGGTGAAGAAGTGGCGTGATATTAGCTTGGGGTGATGCGCCACAAGCAACTCGTACAGCGCGCCGGTGGAGTGAGGCTAGCTTGTTTCTATTTTTAGCGGATATAAACGAAAGGTATACAGGGAGAGCATATTCTAGATCAGGCTGACTAACACCGACAACGAAAGTACGGCGGGCAAACAGGTGTATTAAAATGTAAACAAATACATTGTTGAGTCCGACACCTCGTTCCAACAACTAAACTGATCCTGAGGTTATAAGCCGCAAGAATATTATGGTTGGAGGTACTGAGAGATAAACAAGGCACTCCATAATAATAAAATGTTACACGTCTTTGGTGAGTATGAATGATATCCAGTCAAACCTCTTTAGGACGAACATCAAGGGACCGATGGTATTTGTTCTGTGAGTTTGTCTTAACCCTATTTTATAACCAGTGAATACAATTATTTCTCCAATAGAGACACGAACATATTTATTCTTCAGCGAAAGATTCTAAGTCATACCAAACCATTGACTCGTCTTGTATGAAACAAATGAGTCACTGAACCTTTCTTTAGCAACATGACGGCAACTGAAACAACAGAGAAAATACGATACATGTACAGCACATTCTCGCAGATACTACAAACAGATATCCGATCATAATTCTTGCTCTGCCGGCACGCAACTTTATTTGGACAAGTGCAATCCCGGCGCTAGTCACAAATCAAACAGCCCAGACTCGAGTAAACAAGTCCAATCGTACGAGATTTTCAAGAGACGAGACTGCACCCATTGGCTTGTTTCGTATGAAGCAAACAAGTCACTGAATGCATGAACCTCTCCATAATGGTGATTTTCCCTGATATGCGAATTTATTTTGCATACTCGGCCAATGCTTTCCCTCCAGATTGGGAACGTCCAACGATTCTATGCCACTGCAAAATTCAGATTCTACCCTATGATCGGAGCACGGAATGCCGGAAGCAATCATGACCAGTGCCTTACTTGTAACGTACCAATGTACAATGAACATGAGTGTTTCGACAACACATCTAAGCCCCAGCAGCAACATACAGTCAACTTCGCTTATAACGTCAAGAAGGTGAACTCGCGTTTCCGTAAATGAAAGGGTGAGCATAAGCAAATGAATCGAAAGAAACTGGTCAACTCAGAGATCACCTGTCATTGAGTATTCCGTGAAAGGAGGCCTTGACAGCAGGAAAGCTAAATTTAGAAAAGAGATCCTGTCAGCTTTTCCATTATTTATTGTATTCCACCTAAAATCAGCACACTTTTCGTAAATAAAAGAGTCAACACAAGCAAATGAATCAAAGGAAACTGGTTAACTCACCTGTCATTGAGTAATATTCCGTGAAAGGAGGTCTCAGCAGAGCCGAAGCGAAATAAGCCAGGAGACGAAATATCCGAAACAGCACATGCAAGAAGCAGCTCCAAAGAAGTCAGTTCCTCCCGCATGCACATCCGAAAACGGACTGCACTGCAACACAATGTCTGCCGTGAACGCGCACAGCACGCGGCTACCACGCGTTGATAGATCTAATACCGAGCACGGCACTCTAATCTTTATTTCCACGATGGCCCATGGTCAATAGGGAAGATTATAATTATGATGCCTGTGTTGGCCTAGCATTTTAAGAATTCCACACCCTCGTGCCCACAGCTGTCCAGGAGA